AACTAGAAAAAGAAATTAGAAAAGATAATTTAAAAAAAAACTCCCAGATAAAGTGAAACTGTTAATTGTAGTTGTGATGTACTACATCAGGATTGATTTATACCACAAAGAAAAGTACTACCAAAAAAGACGAGGCCACGTCCATTTGTTATTAAACGTCATGACAACCTTGAGGGGTTGTTCAATAGGCCAGGCCTTGGGTTTGCTCTCTAGTGGTCACCAGTTCGATTCCCTTCAGGGCCCAGTAGGATTAGTTGAGGTGCACGCAAGCTGGCTCGGAAATTCACAGTTATAAAAAAATAATAATAATTGTAATAGCGTGGAAAATACTTATGTATTAAGAGAGCTATGTTATTACTTTAATTGTTATGATGATTTAATAAAGTCTCATTTGGAAAACAACGTCAAAATGTGAAATCGGTACAAGAACGATAGATTCTGTTGTTGATATAAGCTCGTTATGAATGCATCCACGTAAAGCATAACGAAAATAACAAATAAGTCAAAAATGCAAGCTCAAAGAAATTATCAAATTAATAAATTCATACAAAATAAATAATGATATTTTACTAATAAAATTGTCGAGATAGTACAGTTTTATACGAACAAGGAATAAAGCTTCGCCATCATTAAGCAATGAGACAAAAATAAGCCATCCTAATTAGCCAAGGACTAAAAATTTCCTAAAGATGAATCATCTTGGTTAACTTTAACTTCACCCCCTATGGTACACTCGCTTCTAAAGAAGAAGGAATGGAACTGTCAAGAGGTTCATTAATGGCCACATTCCTACTTAGGGAATAGCTGGGGAGTCCGCAGGTTAAGAAAGATCAGCAACAATGGATGGAGTGTTCGGAGCCCTAGAGGCCAACAGTCGAACCTCAGGAGAAAGGGTGTCTTTGGTATCATCCTCGTGAGCCTCCAAAAAGTCAATATTCCATTTAGGGTGAAAGTTTATGATAATATCAAGCACTTTATTTCCCCCTTCCTGCATGGCATTCTCAACCAATTTCGCCTCGTGAGCAGCCGTTCCAAAAAGGCTAGACTCTGCAACAGCTAATTCTGTCTCAATATTATTCAATCTATCGCGAAACAAAGCTATCTCATTCTCTGTGTTATCCAGTTCCATAAGGACAGCCTCCTGCTCGGACTTATCATTTGGAACTCTCTCCAACATGCGAAGCGTCACGCTCAGTCCTTGCAACATAGGCTACATGCTCTTCCTTGGCCAAACTCATAATTAAAGAGATATTCTTGGCATCAGCTACCAAGGAAACCTCCTTTGCAACGAAGCTTCAACACTTTTACTCATTCCGTTATACTTATTCTATTCGCCGTCAACCTCCTTAATCTTGTTCTGGAGAGTATCGTATCCTTCACCCGTGAGAGGCAAGTTTCATAATCTGCTGGTCTTAAGATAAGTAGGGGCAAACTCTTTCGCTGATTTCTTCCAAGACAGGTTAAAATAGGCATAGACAGCCTTCGCCCTTCAGGAGACAAAAGGAGGGAATGACGATAAAATCCTTGCGTCTAATGCACCCTTGCGCGAGGGGGGAATAGAGACCTCAAATTCAGAGTACGCTTCTGGGGTGAGTAAGAGACTTTGGGATCTACGAGGGGTATAGACCCGCTTGAGGCTTTCTTTTTCCTAGGATCCCTATCCAGACCCAAAGAGGAGGAAGGCACATATTTTGCAAGCAAAGGTTCTGAAGCTCCGACAGTAGATATTTGTAACAGGGATCGCTTGGATGAAGCATCGACCACCGGTGAGGATACTCCTTTGGAACTCCTAGAACTTTTGCGGATCAGCTTCTTAGATGGATGAGCAGCAGTTTTAGGCGCTTAGGGGCCATCGAAGTAGTGGTACCCAAGTCAGTTCGCACGGTAAAAGAAAGACAAATTGAATATTCTCCAAAAGATAAGGAAAAGTCCTTTAAAACAAGAAACTAATGCATTGATTTACTTGGAGTAATCTGAACATTGGTGTCATGAAATTTCGGATTAGTGAAGCTCAGTAGCCCCCCAGCTTCGTTAGCCTCAGAACTCAAATTGAGAATAGGCACTACCAAAGAGCAAAATTCTTGTCTGGCTTGACCTCGAAGAGGAGCTGATAGTTTATCTGCGCAAACATAATAAAAAATAAGTAAAGGCAAGATACTCATTGGATTTTCCGTTTCATAATCACCGTAGGATAAGGGTCATTAGGATGTAGTCCCTAGTTATTGTGAGCAAAGAAAAAGTTCTCCTTCCAATTATGTGTTTTATTAGGAGCGGTAATGAGTTTCGGGCTTATTTTGGGTAAGCGACGTGTAAAATAATAGTATCCCTTTTGCGAGTGCGTTGTATTCCTTGCTCCATATGATAAATAGAAAAAAAAAAACATCTGGAGAAAGTTTTCCTCTCAAACCCGCATTGTTCCATAACAAAAACAATCCAACCATATGGCCTCATCTGTTCGAGGTAAGTTGGGTAGGAGCATTATTAAAAGAGGAAAAAATGATGCTTACCCCGAATTTCAAAGCCTTGAAATTACACAGGTAATCACGACCATTGAATTTAATATGCGCCTGAGTAAGAATTATAAAAGAACATACTCGATTAAATGTATTTGTCATGCACATTAAATATGCATAGGCCACCAGCCTAGAAACACGAAAAAAGGCCCTGTAGCACACGCAAATAGCTACAGCAATCATAACATTTCCCTTCAAAACGGCCCACGTTGTCTACCACTAATGAAGAAAAGTACATACAAACAACAATAGGTTCGCATCGCATATCATCAAAAGAAATACCGAAGTCCTAGAATTAGTATGAATATTAAAACCGGACTTCGAGGACTATTTGTTAACCCCAAAAATCTGTTTTGCGAACCTTACTTAATGGTTTGCAAAGCATATAGCAAATATCTAAAGTAAAAGAGAGTGGAAAAGGTTCACATGAAGTAAATATGCAAACCACTCCTCCAGCCAAACTGGCCACAGCCTGTCAAGATGCACACAAAGCATGACATTTGTAATGGAATTAGTTACTAATAAACTAACGAGGAACTGCCATTTTTCGTTCTTCTAAAAAGACCAAACTACCCAAGGTTTGAAGGAAAATCTATAAATACCCACTCATTTGATGAGGAAGGCATGCAATTCAAATATTTCCCTTTCAAATAGCTATTTCCCTTCTTGCTCTAGTTTGAGCACCAAAACTAGTGAATTTAGGAAGTGAAAATCATAGATAGGTGAGTAGGATTTATTGATCATATTTGCATCGTCAACACTGAGAATATCAATGCAGGAAAAGGCTGCTGGCAACGAAGGCACCGATGAGCATAATCACTGTATCAAGGATGGTCCTGAAGAATTCGAGCCAAACTTTGTTTGCCTTGCAAAAATGGTTCAGAGTTTCATCGACAACAATGAGAAACCCCACAGGTTTAGCCGGAACAGATGCAATTGCTTTAATAAAATCTGCAGGGTAAGCTTCGATGAGGAACTTGTCTCATTTAATTGCTTCGGCAATTCAATCTGTTCTCCTTCATCTGATGCACTTCATCTTATCCAGGTAGATAAATGAATTTTAGATATTTTTGTTATGTTTTCTTGCTGATAATAGTTTCTCTGAAAAATATTCCGTTGAATACAGAGTTTGGTACCTTGTGTGTGTGTGTTTGAGAGAAATCTGTTAGCAGACACTGCAAGAATTGTTGAGAAAAACAAGATCATTAAACGAAAAGACTTTTGTAGAACAATTGTAACTGACAACCTAATTGCTCTTGGATACAATGCTTCAATTTACAAATCTGACTGGGAAAAATCCCCCTCTTTTCCCTCAGGTAATTCTCTCTTTCTATCTGGGTAAAATTAAAATCCCTCTTTTTGTTTATTTATTTATTGCACAATATGATAAATTTTGTCCCCCCACCCCTTTCCCACCTTTTTTATCCAACTTACAGGGGAATATGAATATGTTGATGTGATGATTGAAGGGGAGAGGATTATAATCGACATTGATTTTCGATCAGAATTTGAAATTGCTAGATCCACCAAAGCATACAAATCGATTCTCCAAACACTACCATACATATTTGTAGGTAAAGCTGATCGCCTTGAGGAGATCATTGACATTGTATCAGATGCAGCCAAACAGAGCTTGATGGAGAAGGGCCTTAGATGTCCACCATGGCGCAAGGCCGATTATGTTAAGGCCAAATGGCTCTCTCCTTACACTCGAACCACTTCGAGAGTAACTGATGAGGAAGTAAAGGATCTGATTACAACAAGAACAAATTCTTGAGATGATTTTTGGGGAGAAATGTTCGCCTAACGAGACTAACAACAATGGAAATAACACTGTTTTTACTTTCATCTTCGGACGAGCACGACTCCATTGATGAAGCCATTGGAAATTAGGCCAAGGAGTGAAGATGTTTGCCTTGAGGGTACAATATTCTGGTAGGCTAATCCTTCCCTTCTCTTTTTACTGCAAGGGTGTTGAACTGCTGCTTTTAATATGATAAATAATGATGATCAAGTAAGAATAGCTTCATAGAATTCTGGTATCAACTTTTGCTTTTGATGATTTTCTTTAATCTTTAATCATCATATTATTCTTAAATGCACCCCCAGCTTTGTGTATTCTTTATTGGGTTGTGCTACATGTACATAATGGTTTATATACACGAGTGAAATATGATTGGGTCGGAATTTCGTCAACCAAATAAAAAAAAATCTGTTCTTTTTGACACCTCGTTTGTATGTAAACTATTATGTAACTCCATTAAGCATTATTCTTCTTTATTCCCTGTCTGTGAAATGACCCCAAAACAACCATTTTTAGCTGTTTCCTTCCTATTTTCTTGGTGCATTGGGTGTGAAAATGGACTTCTTGTTTGAGGATTGATGAGTTGTTGCCGTTGTAAAGGAGTCATTGAGTGGATTAATTTTCAAGTTGGAGATTGTTATTTGATATTTTGATTCTGTATGTCATCTTTCAATTCTTTTTAATTTACTACCACTTCGAAATTTGCTTCTATCGAAGGGTTAGAATTATTTTATTGAAATTTTAGTTTAGAACGATTTTTAAAAATCTCAAATATTTTATCGCTGAGTAAATAGTTTATGCGCGAGCATAACTTCGAAAAAAATCTAATAAGCGAGAGAAATTTTAAT